GAAGTGTTGCGTCAGCGAGGTCACGTGACTAGTATCACGCCACTTCTTTCTCGAACCTTCCCAAGATTACTAGATTGGGGGTAGGCTGGTATATATAAGATGGTGGCAACGTGACGGGACAATGTGTAGGTAGTGAGCATTTGATCTGCAGTCAGAGAGTATTGTTGAAGTTAACGTTCGTTGTTATAGCGTTTGTTTTATCGCGAATGTTGAAATTAAGTGTATCGTAAAGTTATATTCAGAAAGAATAAACCAGTTTTATTTAAGAAAGGACTTGTGTCGCTAAAGTTTCGTCGGAACGAAGTTACGGAAAATTAATTAACAAACGGAGACGTAACAATACCAACTTTTTATCGTTATGTGAGCTGTACATTTATTTTTATTTTTCACAGGTAATTTAAAGGATCCCCAACAAAAGAACAAAGTTACAACAGTATGTACTTAACAATGGGAAAAACATGCAAGTTAAACAATATAGTAGGTAAAGAAGCTAAATAGAAATAAAGAAAACAGCAGAATGTTCAAACTGACAATAAAAAAACATTTACTGTAAAGAAAATCACCCATTCATTTCAAGAGTTTGTTTGGTATCTAATTTAAAACGAATCTGTCTTCATCTCTTTCTCTTTTGGTCTTGTCAGGTGGTGCATGTTTGATATTAGCTAAGGAATGGTCATTTGAGTTAAAATTCAAGGTGTTGGAAGGTCAAGGTTTTTATTTGTTGAAAATGTTTGTGGAATTGATCCCTAAGTCTGCATGAAATTTTGTCAATCTGTAATTCATTGCATGTTTAAAAACATATATCTTAGAATAAATATGTATAGTAGTACGAACCATTTCAAAAACATTAACAATAATTAACATTAGGGAATACATGCTACCTATTAACATGTTATTAAAGGTATTATAATTTTATATTATGCAAAGAGAAGTAAAAGAAAATCGTTGTTATTTTAAGCACAAAGAGCTATCTTGGCGTTACAGATTCTCAGTCATAATGAGCCTCAAAGGTAGTCAAGTGACAATCAGAATCATGATGCTCTAACAATTCCTCAGGCACTTGTCTCTCTTGGAAAGAATAGACGCAGAACAATTAGTGCACATTCTTTACCATTGTAACAAAGACCATCATTTTCAAAGACCAATGAATCATAAGAAGTGACATTCTTGATGTTATTGACTATAAAAATACTATACTTTTTTGTTAAGTTAGAAAACGTGATTAAATTTAGAATGCACATAATCAATTCATGTTTTGAAAATTACATTTATACTCTTTTCCAACTTATTAAGTAGGCTTTAGAACTACACTTATATCGTTTCAACATAGGAGAAAAAAGTTCCTGGTAAATAAATAAATTATGACGTCAGTCCAATTTAGCTCTGTTATATATATGTGTGTGTGTGTGTGTATTAGTCATGCAGTTCTCGTGTTTGCATCATCGCCACCAGCATTCTAGTAACGGTAGAATTCAAGGGTTAAGCCCTACCAAGGCTTGAGGAGAAACACATACATTTTGCTCACTTCTCTATCACGATATTCAGTGTTAAGGCATGTTGTAAATTTTAGACTAAGTCAATAAAAAATGGAACAAAATTCCTATGAATATTATTATTACTAACACTGGTATTACTAATAGTAACACTAACTGTTTGTGGCACCTCCGTGAAAATGCAGAAAAACATGGGCATATTCAGTGCATTTGCTTTTAATGGTTTATATCTAAATCTGCAGAAAACTTTTGATTGGACAATTGATAATAAGTTTTATTCACCATTCAAGAAAGTGTTTTAAAAAAGTGAGTAAATTTTTTTTCAGGTAGGCCCATGAGTGGTTTTGTTAATGTTATATCTTCATAGAAGGTGTAAAATAACAGGCGTTTTCTATAATACTAATAGTCCCAACTTTTACACTTATTTTTAATTTTTTTTAATTTTATTTTTAATTTAAAGTTGCGTAAATTTCTGAAAAAAAACTAATTCTATAGCGGTTCCTATACGTATAATCCAGATTCTGTGTTAACTAAATTAAAACCTAATACAAAGTGATTATATTTTTGGATCAGAGTTAAATAACTAGTATATTAATTTGGATTTAAATAAAAACTTTCATTTAGTTATTATTATTAGTATTACTTTTGACTAGTTTGCAGAAAACATGTGATGTTTGTGTTGATTTCAATTACGCATTTGTAACACTAATAGTTTAATATCGTATAATATTTAGAAATAAGCATCTGTTTCTATTGAATATCACTTTAAATAGGTAATTTAGTTATTTGAAGAATGAACCTTAAAATATTTGTAATTATTATAGCAATATGAAGTTATGCACAAAGCTACACAATTGGGATATCTGTGCTCTGACCACCACGGGTACCGAAACCCGGTTTCTAGCGTTGCAAGTCCGTAGACATACCGCTGTGCCACTGGGCGGGCCAATATAATAAATATAAGTTTGATAATAAACA